GTGACGTCTGTTAGTATCATTCTGTTATGTCAGTCATATTCCCACCATCATACCTAGGTGCAGGCAAGCACTTGGGTGCATTTGTTGGTCTCAGTGTAAGTAAACAGGTTGATTCAGCCATGGCTACACAGATGGAGATTACCATAAATGCAGCCCATTTTCCTTCATGCCTGCTTGCTTTGGTTTGTGGAAAAACACGGACTTTAAACACTTTCTTTTTTTGTGATGCTGTGGCACAGAAGCTAATGCATGTGCATGAAAAGTGTGATCGCTGCATTGTCTTGCACTGTGTCTTGAGCTATGCAGAAATACACTTTCGTAATGCGTTTGTACACTGGTGCTTCAATAATGCCTGATAATTAGGATTTAATAATTTAATTTTCTTCTTGTATATATATTGTTTGATATAGGCTCGTACCTTGTATGTAGACAACACTACTGGTCAGTGTGGTTACAGGTAGGCTTAGTTACTGTCACATAGTGTGCTCATCACATACAATGTATAATAGTTAAAAAAAAATGATATTTTTACCTGTCACATTTATAAAGTAGTAGCAGCATTCACTGCAGTAGTAGTAAGATATAATCATTAAATCATAGAATTTTTTAACTGTCAGGTAGTTGTACGCTTAGCATAAAAGTCTTTCAGTAAAAAGCATGAAAATGCAGAATACAATTGCTAGAAGTTAGGTTCCAGATAGTCGAGTGAAAATAAACTGGCAAAGAATATTCATGGTGGCAGTAAACATGTAGAACAACTCTTTATGCTGCCTAGAATTATTCTGAATTACTTATCACATAGTTTTAGAATTGCTTGCATTTTTTCTGAATAGTACTATATTTCCCAATGATGCATAAGGTACCAACCAATTTGTGAACAGTAATAATATGAGTGTATTTTATATATATATATATATCTTTCTTTCAACACACCAGCCGTATCCCACCGAGGTGGGGTGGCCCAAAAGGAAAAACAAAAGTTTCTCCTTTCATATTTAGTAATATATACAGGAGAAGGGGTTACTAGCCCCTTGCTCCTGGCATTTTAGTCGCCTCTTACAACACGCATAGCTTACGGAGGAAGAATTCTGTTCCACTTCCCCATGGAGATAAGAGGAAATAAACAAGAACAAGAGCTAGTAAGAAAATAGAAGAAAACCCAGAGGGGTGTGTATACATATGCTTGTACATGTATGTGTAGTGTGACCTAAGTGTAAGCAGAAGTAGCAAGACGTACCTGAAACCTTGCATGTTTATGAGACAGAAAAAACACCAGCAATCCTACCATCGTGTAAAACAATTACAGGCTTACGTTTTACACTCACTTGGCAGGACGGTAGTACCTCCCTGGGCGGTTGCTGTCTACCAACCTACTACCTAGAATATATATATATATATATATATATATATATTTCTTTCAACACACCAGCCGTATCCCACCGAGGTGGGGTGGCCCAAAAGGAAAAACAAAAGTTTCTCCTTTCATATTTAGTAATATATACAGGAGAAGGGGTTACTAGCCCCTTGCTCCTGGCATTTTAGTCGCCTCTTACAACACGCATAGCTTACGGAGGAAGAATTCTGTTCCACTTCCCCATGGAGATAAGAGGAAATAAACAAGAACAAGAGCTAGTAAGAAAATAGAAGAAAACCCAGAGGGGTGTGTATACATATGCTTGTACATGTATGTGTAGTGTGACCTAAGTGTAAGCAGAAGTAGCAAGACGTACCTGAAACCTTGCATGTTTATGAGACAGAAAAAACACCAGCAATCCTACCATCGTGTAAAACAATTACAGGCTTACGTTTTACACTCACTTGGCAGGACGGTAGTACCTCCCTGGGCGGTTGCTGTCTACCAACCTACTACCTATATATATATATATATATATATATATATATATATATATATATATATATATATATATATATATATATATATATATATATATATTTTTCAACAAGTTGGTCGTCTCCCACCGAGGCAGGGTGACCCAAAAAAGAAAGAAAATACCTAAAAAGAAAATACTTTCTTCATCATTCAACACTTTCACCACACTCACACATTATCACTGCTTTTGCAGAGGTGCTCAGAATACAACAGTTTAGAAGCATATACGTATAAAGATACACAACATATCCCCCCAAACTGCCAATATCCCAAACCCCTCCTTTAAAGTGCAGGCATTGTACTTCCCATTTCCAGGACTCAAGTCCGACTATAAGAAAATAACTGGTTTCCCTGAATCCCTTCACTAAATATTACCTTGCTCACACTCCAACAGATCGTCAGGTCCCAAGTATCATTCATCTCCATTCACTCCTATCTAACACGCTCATGCACGCTTGCTGGAAGTCCAAGCCCCTTGCCCACAAAACCTCCTTTACCCCCTCTTTCCAACCCTTTCGAGGACGACCCCTACCCCTCTTTCCTTCCCCTATAGATTTATATGCTTTCCATGTCATTCTACTTTGATTCATTCTCTCTAAATGACCAAACCACCTCAACAACCCCTCTTCTGCCCTCTGACTAATGCTTTTATTAACTCCACACCTTCTCCTAATTTCCACACTCCGAATTTTCTGCATAATATTTACACCACACATTGCCCTTAGACAGGACATCTCCACTGCCTCCAACCATCTCCTCGCTGCTGCATTTACCACCCAAGCTTCACATCCATATAAGAGTGTTGGTACTACTATACTTTCATACATTCCCTTCTTTGCCTCCATAGATAACGTTTTTTGACTCCACATATACCTCAACGCACCACTCACCTTTTTTCCCTCATGAATTCTATGATTAACCTCATCCTTCATAAATCCATCTGCCGACACGTCAACTCCCAAGTATCTGAAAACATTCACTTCTTCCATACTCCTCCTCCCCAATTTGATATCCAATTTTTCTTTATCTAAATCATTTGATACCCTCATCACCTTACTCTTTTCTATGTTCACTTTCAACTTTCTACCTTTACACACATTCTCAAACTCATCCACTAACCTTTGCAATTTTTCTTTAGAATCTCCCATAAGCACAGTATCATCAGCAAAAAGTAACTGTGTCAATTCCCATTTTGAATTTGATTCCCCATCATTTAATATATATATATATATATATATATATATATATATATATATATATATTATATATATATATATATATATATATATATAAAATTATAGGGGGATAAGTCTGTTGAGAAGTTGCAGAGATTGGTGGATGAATTTGGTAGGGTGTGCAAAAGAAGAAAATTGAAAGTGAATACAGGAAAGAGTAAGGTTATGAGGATAACAAAAAGATTAGGTGATGAAAGATTGGATATCAGATTGGAGGGAGAGAGTATGGAGGAGGTGAATGTATTCAGATATTTGGGAGTGGACATGTCAGCGGATGGGTCTATGAAAGATGAGGTGAATCATAGAATTGATGAGGGGAAAAGGGTGAGTGGTGCACTTAGGAGTCTCTGGAGACAAAGAACTTTGTCCTTGGAGGCAAAGAGGGGAATGTATGAGAGTATAGTTTTACCAACGCTCTTATATGGGTGTGAAGCATGGGTGATGAATGTTGCAGCGAGGAGAAGGCTGGAGGCAGTGGAGATGTCATGTCTGAGAGCAATGTGTGGTGTGAATATAATGCAGAGAATTCGTAGTTTGGAAGTTAGGAGGAGGTGCGGGATTACCAAAACTGTTGTCCAGAGGGCTGAGGAAGGGTTGTTGAGGTGGTTCGGACATGTGGAGAGAATGGAGCGAAACAGAATAACTTCAAGAGTGTATCAGTCTGTAGTGGAAGGAAGGCGGGGTAGGGGTCGGCCTAGGAAAGGTTGGAGGGAGGGGGTAAAGGAGGTTTTGTGTGCGAAGGGCTTGGACTTCCAGCAGGCATGCGTGAGCGTGTTTGATAGGAGTGAATGGAGACAAATGGTTTTTAATACTTGACGTGCTGTTGGAGTGTGAGCAAAGTAACATTTATGAAGGGGTTCAGGGAAACCGGCAGGCCGGACTTGAGTCCTGGAGATGGGAAGTACAGTGCCTGCACTCTGAAGGAGGGGTGTTAATGTTGCAGTTTAAAAACTGTAGTGTAAAGCACCCTTCTGGCAAGACAGTGATGGAGTGAATGATGGTGAAAGATTTTTTTTTTCGGGCCACCCTGCCTTGGTGGGAATCGGCCAGTGTGATAAAAAAAAATATATATACGTATATATATATATATATATATATATATATATATATATATATATATATATATATATTATATATTATATATTATATATTATATATTATATTTATATTATTTTATTTGCAAAGTTAATGAAAAAACTGCATCGAACTGGGAAGCAGCTCTGTTAACAAATTCATCTTCTGCAACTCGTGTAAATAATGAGTGAAGATCTATACTGTACTTCATATTAAATAGAGTACTGTATACATGGTATTGGTGGCTACTGGATAGCAGTTAGGGAAATATTGCACTACCCTAGTTTAAATATCAGAAGTAGCATACATTGCACTGATATAGCAAGAGTAAAATATTTGACTTGTCTTCATTATCTGTGCAAATGTAATTTAAGATATATATTATTAACTACAATACTGGTAAATAGGACATATCATGGTTGGCTCCCTGTAGTAGAATAAAAAGTTAATGATATTAACTAAGGCTTGCAATTATACACCATTGTATAGGCTAGTGTATAGCATGTATTTATATACTCTGAATGTACGTATATATGTACAGTATGTGTGTACATGTATATACATATGTACATACATGATATAATACTGTATAATATAAATTAAAGATGTTAAAAGAAAATCTGCAACAAATGTAGTTTTAATACTTGGATCTCTTTTGCAAGAGGAGTAAAAAATTAATCGTAAATATTTTTTGTCAATGAGGAAAAAAAAAAGATGGCTTGTGGAAATTTAATTAACATGGCATAAGTTACATGCAGGCAAATAACTAATGAATACTAACTCTTATTTTCTACTGGCAGGTCTACAGTGCCATGAATGAACATCCTGAGGCACCAACAGTGGGTGAGGTACCCAAGGTAACTCATCTTTAGTAATCATTTTTTTTTGGGGGGGGGGGATTCATTGCCAGAACACACTAAAGGCCCCCTGCCTGCAAATCAATTTAATGCCCTACTTAGAAATCACCTTATCACCCAAAATTAACCAGACAAACACTGTACTTAACACTTACCAATTACTCAAAAAAATCCTAAATAATTTATGATTCCTCAAATATTTAATCATTATTTCAAACTTATAATTGTTTTAATTTTATTGTTTTAAATTGTGCTAAATTGTAATACTTCATATTGTAAATTGTGCTTGATTGCTCAACTATTTAATCATTACTTCAAACTTAAAATTGATAAGTAAGACACACATGCAACAATTAGGTATCTTTATTCCAAAACGTGTTTCCTTCACAGTACGCTTCTTCAGTCAAATACAGAAGAGTTTAGCAGAAGTAGTGGAGGTGTGAAGTTGATGAAATCAGTCCATCACTCTTGAAGATGTAGTTTTGAGGTGGTCAGTCCCTCAGCCTGGAGAAGAGTTTTGCTCCATAGTCTGGAACAATGTGAAGTTTAAGCAGCAGTATGGAGGCTTATATACTGTAGGAAGGTGAGATGCAGTTCACTAATAGAAGAAAGAAGGTCATCACTGAGAGAGCACATCCCTCTCAAATCCATCCCTTCTCACCTGAAAAAGTTGTCAAACATGTTTTCTGTACCAACCCTTCTCACTTGAAAAAATGAGAAGGGATGGATTTGAGAGAGGTGAGCTCTCTCAACGATGACCTTCTTCTACTAGTGAACTGCATCTCACCTTCTGACAATATGTAAGTTTCCATATTGCTGCTTAAACTTCACACTGTTCCAGACTATGGAGCAAAACTCTTCTCCAGGCTGAGGAACTGGCCGCCTTAACACTGTCTTCAAGAGTGATGGACTGATTACATCATCATCACATCTCTACTACTTCTGCTAAACTCTTCCGTACTCAACTGAAGAAGCCTGCTGTGTAGGCAAAACATTTCGAAATAAAGATACCTAACTGTTACATATGTGTCTTACTTATCAACTTGTCGGTTTTATATATCATTTTAATATTCATACTTAAAATTGTTTCAACTTCATTGTTTTAAATTGTGCTAAATTGTAATACTGTACAGTATTTTTTTATTTTTATCAAAACTCTAATTCTTCTCTGCCGAACTTATTAAAGCCATATAGCATGAACTAGTTGAATATTCAGTTTTCTTGTATTCACTGTAATTCACCTATTGACCATATGTACAATTGCAGCACTGTTATTGCCTTATTAATATAAATTCAAGTCTCTACTTAAAAATCACTTACTCACCCACAACTAAATAAATACTGAATAATTGTATCTCATAAATGTTTAACCTGTGACCCAATCAAACTTTGTTATTTTTAATTACATTACCTAACAGAATACTCCATTCTACTGAATGCACAGCAACACAGTAAATGACCATATGACCTGCCTTTGAAATACTCATTTGTGCTTAGCCCTTTGGGGGTCGACAAGTCCTCTCAGAGACTTGTTCTCAGGGTCGGCCAAATTTCAAAAAATTATTTTTTCTTATGAAAAGATGAAGAATCTTTTCCCGATCATAATGACACCAAAAGTATGAAATTTGATGGAAAACTTACGGAATAATGCTGTTGCGAAGTTAGCGGTCTCGACGATGTTTACGCATCGGCAATTTTGCCCACTTTGAGCCCTATTTTCAGCCAATTCCAGTGTACTAGTTGCCAAAAATCATAACTATTTCGCTAAAACTCCATTTTTTCTATCGAATGAGTACAAGAAACCACCCATTTACCGATTTCAACTATCCAATAAAGTGGTCAGAATTTAGCAATTTTGCCAATTTCACAAATTTCAAAAGATGCCAATTTCCGAATAGGGTCCAGAATAAACAAGAAAGACATTTCTGGCACTAAAATAACAAGTTCTCTGTTCGTTAGTCACATCCCCATGCCCCTCTTATATTTCTTTGGCTTTCCACTTTGAATTAATTTTTATTCTCACAAAAAAAAATAAGATTTACTGTTATGCAGACTACTGCATTAGTGTATAAATTATATAAATAATATCAGCGCACTTGTGAAAGAATATTAGACTCACCAGTTGATGTGTATTGGACGCTTGGCTTGATTTGTTTACTTTTGAACTTTGGTAAAAATCGAACATTTCTGCTACTTTGAGCTCAATTTCAAGGTACTTTTCATTGTAAAACCAGTCAGAATCATCTCAATTTCTGTAATATGTCTTCCATTCTATAAAATGAGATCAAGAAAACTAGAATACAACAATAAATACCATACAAAAATACAGTGCAAAGTCACTGCTTTAATCCAAAAACATGGTCAAAGTTTTTTTTTTCTCATTACGCACTGTGTGCTGCAGGATTTTTTTTTATACTGCACACACTGACCACATAGACCCATTCTTACATATGTAGGCCTACCAGCTTTCTCTCACTAGATTTGAGGCGCTAGAATTTAGGCGTACTAGCACGTCAAAAACCCTGGGTCGTAAGACGTGCTAGTACATGTCCAAAACCCCCAAAGGGTTAATTGTTATCTGTTTACAATAATGTTTACCACTGAATATATCATTGCTTAGTTTAAAAATAAGTTAATTTTAAGCCTGCCCATAATGCTCTGCATACAAGGGGCTTTGGCATGTTACACTTAACCACTGTATTTTTTTGTACTTCAATGTATCATGTTCAAATTAATAAATAAATAAATAAATAAATAAATCTTAAGTAAGTCTTAAGGTTGCCTGAAATGCTCAGCATATAAAGGGGTTTTTGGCATGTTCACCAAATTGTTGCTCCTTTGTACAAACATGTATCATGCTAAAATAAAATTGTTATTGTTTGTTTGTTTGTTAGTGTTACTGATGAGTGAACAGGGGCAAGAGAAGTGTATGAAGTATGTCTTAACATTTCCACTTGTTGAGGATCAAACCTGGGTCCTTTGGTTGAGCTGAAGGTGCTACAACTTCAGCCATAAGCCTTCAGGTTATTAGGCAATATAGTAAAAATTAAAATTTTGTTATTTCTCATGTTATTTTCTTTTATACAACAGTAGAATCTTCCTTGGAATTGTTCAAAAATTTAAGTTTAAATTTTAAATTAAGAACTGTCTTCAAAAACTGAATTTAAAATTTTTGGGAGGGATATGTTGTGTATCTTTATACGTATATGCTTCTAAACTGTTGTATTCTGAGCACCTCTGCAAAAGCAGTGATAATGTGTGAGTGTGGTGAAAGTGTTGAATGATGATGAAAGTATTTTCTTTTTGGGGATTTTCTTTCTTTTTTGGGTCACCCTGCCTCGGTGGGAGACGACCAACTTGTTGAAAAAAAAAAAAAAAAAAAAAAAGTAAATATTCTAAAATTCAGTTTTCACTTAACTTTCCAAGTAGTGTGTAGATAACATAGCTTAAATCTTTCAAGAATGACATGCCATGTCATTCTTGAGCAGAGTAGTTAGACATGAAGGCTGATATATTTACTTTACCTTTGATATACTTTTGATGGGTTTCAATTACCTCTGGCATTTGCTAGCCTGGTCAACCAGGATGTTACTTCTGGCAGTTGCTGGCCCACTATTCATCACAGCCTAGTTAATCTGGCCCTGACTAGTCAGGTTCAGAGGTGTATTACTAAACATGGTATACCTGTACTTTCCTCCATTTCCCACTCCCCACCTAATACTTTTTTCCTTCTCTCTTACCCAGTTCTTTCCCTCCTTCCCCACGTAATACTTCTCCTCTCCCCCTACTTAATGCATGTACTCTTTTTTCCCTCTCCCATCTAGTATGTTTCTCATCTTCCCTTTTCCCTTTAAAATACCTTTTCCCATTACCACATAATACTGTATAACTTTTCCCCCTTACTCTGCAAAGTTTTTGTCCTCCCGTTTCCACCAAATTCTTTCCCTTCTTCCTCAGTAAATTCTTCCCATCTCTTAATTATCAAATTAATCACCTCTTTTTCCAACTGCCAAACTTCTACCCCAGATTTCTCTGTCGAATTTTCTCTTACAAATTTTCTCTTTCCCTAAATTTTCTCCTCTCAGAAATGTTCTTTTCTCCCCAATATTTTTTCTTTTTTCGCCAAATTTTCTTCTTTCTTACCAGATGCTCCCAAACTTTTTCTTTTCCTCTTCCTTAGACTCATGGTTCAATTGATTTTTTCAGCTCAACTCTGAAAGGCCTGAATTTGATCCCAGCACAAATGTTGTACATGTTTCATTACATCTGTTGCCTCTGTTAGCCTAGAAGTCAAAAAGTACCTGAGTGTTAGCTGTCTTCTGTTAATTGCATCATGAGGAAGAGGACTGAAGGACCCCTAATGGAAATAAGCCATATATAGTGGGTTTTTGGGATTATCCTGGATTATTAATACTCTAGGATAATCTGAATCTTCCCTTTCAAATCTACTCCCACCCCTCCCCACAATACTGGCCTATGATTTTTAATGAACCTTTTTTTTTATATGCAATATAATGCATTTGGCTAGTCGTCCTGCACACATCTCGGACCTTCTTCAGTGCTTTTCTTCTTTTCATTATATGAGGCATATTATTTTGGAAAATCCCTTCAATTTTTGTTTTTTTGTGAATAGAAAGCAGTACTGATTTGTACAGTATTACATATTTTGAATTTTCTGTAATTCAGACACCCTTGTGAATAAGGAAGGTATCATTATTCACTAGTTTTGTTCTCTCTAGTTAATGTGGAAGCTTAAGTCCAGTTTCTTACTTTTTAATATGTTTATTTTTTCTGTGAGAAAATTTTGAATAATACTGTCATTGCCTTGGAGAAATTATAATTACCATTTAGTATTCATTTTATTATGACAGGTGACCCCTAGCAAGAATGCCATCATCGACTTCCATTCTGGCTCCTGTGCTGTTATGGAAAACATTGGGAAATTTGAAGTTGCCATATGTCGTTCTGGCAGAACTGACAATGAAGTTAGTGTCAGGTGAGTCATTTTCATAATAATGAAGGAATTAAAAGATAAAAACTCCAAATACTATGGCTGGAACAGTACACCAATAACCTGCACTTAGGAGAGGAAAAGCAATGAAACTGTTTTAGTCTGACCTGGACCATTGACAAGTCACACTGAAGTGTGAAGTTAAGGTCAGAGTATATATGAGAGGGAATGAGGAAAGAAGGGAGGGGTAATGGTAGGGGTGGTAGTAGTAGAAGTAGCAGTGACAGCAGCAGTTGTGGTGGTGGTAGTAGTAGTAGTAGTAGTAGTAGTATTGAAAGTGGATGTGGTAGTAACAGTAGCAGTAGTAGTAGCACTGAAAGTGGAAGTAGTAGTAGAGTGGTAGAAGTAGTATTAAGAATGGAAGTAGTAGTGGTAGAGATAGTACTGCATCAGTGATAAAGGTTTAATTAAGAAGGTAGCAGAAGTAGTATAAGTGGAAAACCGGGGAAAAAAATTATTGCAAATAGTGTAGTAGTAATTATGAAGTAATAGTATTAGTGGTGGTGGTGGTTTTGCATAAGTACAAGAGAAGAGAGGAGCACTGCAAGAGAGCTACTGGCCCATGAGCTTAGGACAAAAGCCTGCAATGCAACACCTCATAGGACGGAGCCCACCAAGGCAGAAGACATGGCGATGAAAATATTGGGAAGGTGCATAGGTAAGGAGAGAGGAGACAAAGGTCAGATCAAGTCATTAGTGTTCTGAAGTTTAGAGCATTTGACAAAAAAAGGCCGGCATAAACAGAGACAATGCCTGGATTAAGATTCATGTTAGAATTGTTATGCAAATAGATGCTGTGACTAACTGCTGTGGCTAACACGGTCTGGAGTTTACGACACACTTGTTCAATCCCCATTTGTACCGTGGTTTTTTATTTTTACGCTGTAACCAGATGGCATCTGTGAGGACTGGAAGAAGGGCAAACAGTTTTAACAGAGGACAAGTTAACAAGATGACTTTGATCCATATCATGACAGAAAAGAGCTTATTAGTGAGCAAGGCAAATGCTGCTTTTGTGCTCTTTAAGTCTGTAAGAAAGAGAGTGGCCAGTTTCACCAAAGTATTGGAGAGAACAAGAGGAGCAGTAAATGGAGCAGACACCAGAAGCATCAGTGGCAGAGGAAGTATCGACTAAATTGCTATGAAAAGTGTTAACTGGCAAAAAGTAAGTCTGATATTTAATGAATGGAGGGTGTTGCCAAGATTTAGGAGATTGAAAATGTATGGAAAGCAATAAAGAAAACAGAGTAACAAATTTTAAATAAAGATGAAGACTTCTTTCAAAAAAACAGCCATATCCTACCAAGGCAGAGTGGCCCAAAAGGAAAAACATAAGTTCTTCTTTTAAATTTTGTAATACATATATACAGGAGAAGGTTACTAACCCCTTGCTCCCGACATTTTAGTTGCCTCTTATGACATGCATGGCTTATGGAGGAAGAATTCTGTTCCACTTCTCTATAGAGATAAGCAGAAATAAAGAAGAAGAAGAACTAGTAAGAAAATAGAAGAAAACTCAAGAGGGGTGTGTATATAAATGCTTGTACGTGCATGTGTAGTGCGACCTAAGTGTACGTAGAAGCAGCAAGATGTACCTGAAACCTTTCATGTAAAGATGAAAACATCCCCTTAAAATTAATATTTTTAACAAGTTTATCCACAAAATGCAACTCCTCTGAGATGTCTATTTTTTCATAGTAATACTCACCCTTTAAACTTTGTGCTACATATTAAGTGTTGCATGGGGAACTCTGTGTTCATATACATATGTATGTATACTCTCACTTTTTGCATTATTGTAATAAATATTATAAGCACAGTGTGATGAATGGATTTTTTGGCCAATGAGCATGGTAATTTTTATATAACGAATTTAAAAATGGTAAAATACGAGTATTGCATTACAGGGTTGAGATTAGCATTAATATTTCATTATAAGGTTGAGACTAACATGAGTATTACACTGAAGTGTTGAGACTAATATGAGTATTACATTACAGGGTCAAGACTAACATAAATATTACATTACAGGGTTAAGACTAACATGAGTATTGCATTACAGGGTTGAAACTATAGATGGAACAGCAACAGAGGAGCAAGATTATGTTGCCATCAATGAGGTCATCACTTTTAAACCTGGAGAAACAGAGAAGTTTGTAAGTAATGTGTTACAGTGTTCCCTTAGAAGACATTAAAATAAGATTTTTTTGTCTTTTCTTGTGTTTTCTTTCCTTTGCTTCCTTGAACCAAGCAAGGAACTTGCTAAAAAAATAGTTACTCATTTCACTTTTCTTACTCTCTAGTTTTTCCATTTATGTTTTCTTATGATACATAATTTATATACGAGACTTTACGAAACAGAAAAGGTGTAAGTGCTAAATTCAAACTGTGGAGAAAAAGACAGATATTGGAGCTATGAAGGTCAAGTTACTGTACGTTGCTATGGAGCTCTGAGCCTAACTTAGAGATGCAGAAGACAATATCTACAAATTTTTACAGTGAAAATACTAAGGAATTAATTCATTCATTAACTTGAATTTTGGCAGTGGCAGTGCTTATTCTTTTCTGCCACACAATGCCTCATGTGTTTTGCATGTTAGGTTAGTGCAAATTATTTAATTTTTTTTTATCAGGTCACAGCACTACACAGGTCACTATAACACAGCACCACACAGGTCACTATAACACAGCACTACACTGGTCACTATAATACAGCACTACACAGGTCACTAGCACATCACTATACAGGTCACTGTAGCACATCACTATACAGGTCACTGTAACACAGCACTTCACTGGTCACTATAACAGCACTTCACTGGTCACTATAACACAGCACTTCATTGGTCACTATTGCACAGCACTAAACTGGTCACTATTGCACACAGTGGCGGCTCGTCCATAGGAGCTGCAGAGCTGCAGTGCCCCCATATGCTCACTGTCAGACGTATGACAAATATATTACAGGAAAAATCTGTTGTATGTTGTTTTCTATGTGTTTATAAGCAATTTTTTTATTTTTTTGTTGAAACGAGATAAAAAATTATTAAAAATAGAAGTCACGCAGTCATACAGTCCCCCTATTCTATTTTTTGAAGAGCCGCCACTGATTGCACAGCACTACACTGGTCACTATTGCACAGCACTTCACTGGTCACTGTTGCCCAGCACTACACTGGTCACTATTGCACAGCACTACACTGGTCACTATTGCACAGCACTTCACTGGTCACTATTGCACAGCACTTCACTGGTCACTATTGCATAGCACTTCACTGGTCACTACTGCACAGCACTTCACTGGTCACTATTGCACAGCACTTCACTGGTCACTATTGCACAGCACTGGTCACTATTGCACAGCACTGGTCACTATTGCACAGCACTGGTCACTATTGCACAGCACTGGTCACTATTGCACAGCACTGGTCACTATTGCACAGCACTGGTCACTATTGCACAGCACTGGTCACTATTGCACAGCACTACACTGGTCACTATTACACAGCACTTCACTGGCCACTATTACACAGCACTTCACAGGTCTCTACTGCACAGCGCTTCACTGGTCACTATTGCACAGCACTTCACTGGTCACTATTGCACAGCACTTCATTGGTCACTGTTGCCCAGCACTTCATTGATCACTGTTGCACAGCACTTCACTGGTCACTATTGCACAGCACTTCACTGGTCACTACTGCACAGCACTTCATTGGTCACTGTTGCACAGCACTTCACTGGTCACTACTGGACAACACTTCACTGGTCACTATTGCACAACACTTCACTGGTCACTATTGCACAACACTTCACCGGTAACTGTTGCACAGCACTTCACCGGTCACTATTGCACAGCACTTCACTGGTCACTATTGCACAGCACTTCACTGGTCACTATTGCACAGCACTTCACTGGTCACTATTGCACAGCACTTCACTGGTCACTGTTGCACAGCACTTCATTGGTCACTGTTGCCCAGCACTTCATTGGTCACTGTTGCACAGCACTTCACTGGTCACTACTGCACAGCACTTCATTGGTCACTGTTGCACAGCACTTCACTGGTCACTACTGGACAACACTTCACTGGTCACTATTGCACAGCACTTCACTGGTCACTATTGCACAGCACTTCATTGGTCACTGTTGCACAGCACTTCACTGGTCACTACTGCACAGCACTGGTCACTATTGCAAAGCACTGGTCACTATTGCACAGCACTGGTCACTATTGCACAGCACTGGTCACTATTGCACAGCACTGGTCACTATTGCACAGCACTACACTGGTCACTATTACACAGCACTTCACTGGCCACTATTACACAGCACTTCACAGGTCTCTACTGCACAGCACTTCACTGGTCACTATTGCACAGCACTTCACTGGTCACTATTGCACAGCACTTCATTGGTCACTGTTGCCCAGCACTTCATTGATCACTGTTGCACAGCACTTCACTGGTCACTATTGCACAGCACTTCACTGGTCACTACTGCACAGCACTTCATTGGTCACTGTTGCACAGCACTTCACTGGTCACTACTGGACAACACTTCACTGGTCACTATTGCACAACACTTCACTGGTCACTATTGCACAACACTTCACTGGCAACTGTTGCACAGCACTTCACTGGTCACTATTGCACAGCACTTCACTGGTCACTATTGCACAGCACTTCACTGGTCACTATTGCACAGCACTTCACTGGTCACTATTGCACAGCACTTCATTGGTCACTATTGCACAGCACTTCATTGGTCACTGTTGCCCAGCACTTCATTGGTCACTGTTGCACAGCACTTCACTTGTCACTATTGCACAGCACTTCACTGGTCACTACTGCACAGCACTTCATTGGTCACTGTTGCACAGCACTTCACTGGTCACTACTGGACAACACTTCACTGGTCACTATTGCACAGCACTTCACTGGTCACTATTGCACAGCACTTCATTGGTCACTGTTGCACAGCACTTCACTGGTCACTATTGCACAGCACTTCATTGGTCACTGTTGCACAGCACTTCATTGGTCACTGTTGCACAGCATTTCACTGGTCACTATTGCACAGCACTTCACTCATCACTATTACACAGCACTTCACTGGTCATTATTGCACAGCACTTCACTGGTCACTGTTGCACAGCACTACACTGGTCACTGTTGCACAGCACTACACTGGTCACTATTACACAACACTTCACTGGTCACTACTGCACAGCACTTCACTGGTCACTACTGCACAGCACTTCACTAGCCACTACTACACTACAGTACATGGATCATAGTATTTCATGACTTTTGGGGTCACTGACACACCTGCTTAACAAAGTAACCTCTCTGGGGTGCCCACACTCACAATTTGTTCACTACCTTCCATGGATCAGCAATCCTCCTCTATACAGTCTCACATTCTCCTCTTGATTATGACTTCATCTTTCCTCATTCCTCTGCACCTGTGATCTTTGGGAACACTGCTATTGCCACTTAGCAGTAATACCAGTATTGTGAAACATGAATTTTAAACATTGCAGCAAATACAAGGATGGAGGCAGTGGAGATGTCGTATCTGAGGATTATGTGTCATGTGAATATTATTCAAAGAATTAATAGTTTGGAGATTAGACGGTGTGGGGGTTACAAAAAGTATTATCCAGACGGCTGAAGAGGGGTTGTTGAGGTCGTTTGGACATTTAGAGAGGATGGAGCAACATAGGACAATTGGGGGTATATAAATCTTAAGTAGAGGGAAGGAGGGGTTGGGGTCATCCTAGGAAAGGTTGGAGGGAGGGCTTTAAAGGAAGTTTTTTTTGTGTGAGGAAACTTTGACATCTAACAGGCAAGTAGAAGCATGTTAAGCATAAGTGGATGTAAGTGGTTTTTATGATTTGGCATGCTGTTGGAGTGTGAACAAGGTAACATTTATGAAGATATTCAGGGGAAAACTGGTTAGCCAGACTTGTTTCCTGGAGGTAGGAAGTACAGTGCCTACACTCTGAAGGAGGGATAGGGATATTATAGTTTGGAGGGGTATTTGGGCTCTAATGTTTGCATACCTTTGGCAGGACACCAATAGTGAGTGATGGTGAGGGTATTTTTTTCTTTTCAGGTTACCCTACCTCAGTGGGAGATGGCCAGTGTATTGAAAACAAAAAGTTTTCCATTAATTGCCATATATTAATCAAAGAAAGCATAAATGTAACTTCAATAATCAAGTAGGAAATAATAATAATGCTACTGTGTAATCAATTTAATCACTAAACCCATATGGGTTATACAGTGTTGTGATTAGGGATGTGAGAGGATAGGCATATGTGATGGTTAGGAGCAAGAGGTAGAGTTGTGTGAAGGGTACAGGTTAGTGGAGGCGAGAGTTACTACAAGAGTAAAATTTAAATCAGAGTTGGTGCATAAGGTTAGTTTCCTTAAAAAGTTGTAAGTTAAATACTTAAATATATGAATAATTATTTAGTTACTTTATTGACAGTAATTTCTATAATTCACTTCAAGTTGCAGAAGTGATTAGAAACCCACTTATATTATGAGACTAATATAGAAAATAATATTTTCTTGAAACCATTGTGCTGTAAATTATTTGCTAGGCTTAAATTAAGAAACTGATCATCAGGTTGAAGTGGAAATCATCAATGACAATCAGTGGGAACCAGATGAGGAGTTCTTCTTGAAGATATCACTGTTGTTGGACCGAGAGAAGAGAGACGGCGTACAACTGGGGCGCATCTCCATCATGGAAATAACCATCCTTAACGATGATGGTCAGTATCACTAATTTATTATTCAAATATTAATTTGTTAGGAAATTATAGAACCGCTGAAATTTTGCCCTAAGGTACATACTGCAAATACTTTTCCTAATTATTGTAAAATCTTTAATAAAATAATTAATGACAAAGATAAATATCACTGGTAGTGTAAAAATATTTTGAACAAAGACAGTATGTACAGCACGGACAATTTCACAATTTTTTCATATTTTGCTTGTAAAGTAAGTATAATTATTATATATAAACTAAGGTTTCCAAAGAGTAAAGAAATACAGTATAATATTACAGTATATACAGTGTACAGTACAATACAGTGGACCCCCGCATAATGATGGCATCGCATAGCGATTTTTCCGCATAACGATTACTTTTATCGCAAAATTTTTGCCCCGCATACCGATTAAAAACCCGCATACCGATTTTCGTCCGAGACGCGTCCAATGTGCCCTCACATGTGCCGGCCGTCCCATTGTTTACCAGCCAGCCTCCGCGGTAACATCCAAGCATACACTCGGAATATTTCGTATTATTACAGTGTTTTCGGTGGTGTTTCTGGAAAATAAGTGACCATGGGCCCCAAGAAAGCTTCTAGTGCCAACCCTGTGGTAAAAAGGGTGAGAATTAGTATGGAAATTAAGAAAGATTTTGAAGGGTTTGGGGCTAACCCTGAGAAGCCTATGCCAGTTGTGGAATCCATTGTGCCTACTTCAAAGATTAAGGAAATGTGTGCAGAGTGGTTTGAACTGCAAACCTTTATAGATGAAAATCACCCTGACACAGCTGTTGCAAGCCGTGCTTGTGACTATTTCAATGACAATGTTATGGCCCATTTTAGGAAAGTCTTGAAGAAACGGGAGGTACAGAGCTCTATGGACAGATTTGTTGTGCGACAGAGGTCCAGTGACTCTGAAGCTGGTCCTAGTGGCATTAAAAGAAGAAGGGAAGTAACCCCAGAAAAGGACTTGCTACCTCAAGTCCTAATGGAAGGGGATTCCCCTTCTAAACAGTAAGAAGATAATGCTCTCCCCTCCTCCCATCCCATCAATCATCACCAGATCTTCAATAAAAGTAAGTGTCATGTAATTGTGCATGCCTTTTTCAGTTTGTGTGTATTAAAATTAACATTTCATGTGGTAAAAAAAATTTTTTTTCATACTTTTGGGCGTCTTGCACGGATTAATTTTATTTCCATTATTTCTTATGGGGAAAATTAATTCGCATAACGATTATTTCGCATAACGATGAGCCCTCTTGCACGGATTAAAATCGTTAACCGGGGGTCCACTGTATTTGTTGTATCATAATCTTAACATTGAATAAATCAGAAAGGTATATACACAGAGGAGTGTATCTTTTAAGGGCATTTATGATGAGAATTTACTTGAATTCCTATTTTAGGGATTAAAATAGGATTAACAGTAGCATGGTCTGTAAATATATAAAGAAAAGGGGGCATAATTATGTGGATTAGAATAAATATATGATGTGAGAAAGTGTTTTAATATCTGTTAATGTGCCTGGAAGTAGTGAAGCAGAAAGGAGAGATTTTGATGTGAACGATAAACAAGAACAAGAGCCACCAGGCCCAGTGGCCTGGTGGCTAAAGCTCCCGCTTCACACACGGAGGGCCCGGGTTCGATTCCCGGCGGGTGGAAACATTTCGACACGTTTCCTTACACCTGTTGTCCTGTTCACCTAACAGCAAATAGGTACCTGGGTGTTAGTTGACTGGTGTGGGTCGCATCCTGGGGGACAAGATTAAGGACCCCGATGGAAATAAGTTAGACAGTCCTCGATGACGCACTGACTTTCTTGGGTTATCCTGGGTGGCTAACCCTCCGGGGTTAAAAATCCGAACGAAATCTTATCTTATCTTATCTTAAGAAAATAGAAGAAAACCCAGAGGGGTGTGTATATATATGATTGTACATGCAAGTGTAGTGTAGCCTAAGTGTAAGTAGAAGTAGCAAGACGTACCTGAAATCTTGCATGTTTGAGATGGAAAAAAGACACTAGCAGTCCTACCATCGTGTAAAACAATTACAGGCTTCTGTTTTACACTTACTTGGCAGGACGGTAGTACCTCCCTGGGTGGTTGCTGTCTACCAACCTAATACCCACCTTTCTTAGTACATAGTTCAGTTAAATATTTATCTGGAAGAAGTTAAAGCTTGTCTCTGCCTACTTTCATGGATATTATGGTAGGCATGATGCCTGCATAAAGCCACAAGATCTTTTGGTGCCAGTTCACTGTTAAAGATTTTCCTTTCTGAGGCCCTGTGTGCATTTTCTGAACTTAAAATATGGCTCTGTTTCATTGTTCTGCCTTGATTGAATAATTAGCTACAAGTGAGTGAGTTTAACCTAAAATTAGGCTACCTATCCAAGTGATGAGAACAGGGCATTACTCTGAGGATGTCTGGAATGCACTACCTGTACAAGCGAGCCTTGTCCACCAGGGCTGACTGCCACTGGGTAGTGTTAAGAGTAGATCATACATCCCAAACTAAAAGTTCCTTCCCTTTTTGTTTTGTGTGGATGCCTCATACCCAAAACAGGAATCCATCCACCAGAATTGGAGTCTCTTAACCTTTTAAAACACTGTGACATGCTTGCACAGCCATCTTTTCCAGACATAACTAACATCCTGCACAGTTAATATATATAGTACTCTGTATTATGTACAGCTAGGTCTTGAGTAGTGCAAGTTCGAATAGTGTGAGTTTTGATTTAGTGTGAAATTATTTAATGCTAGTTTTTCCTTGAAACTCTTCAAATCGTGTGCAAAAATTACATATAATTTGAATAGTGTGAATTTGAATAATGCGTGTTAGATAGGATTGAATGGAGACAAATGGTTTTTAGGACTTGACAAGCTGTTGAAGTGTGAGCAGGGTAATATTTATGAAAGGATTCAGGGAAACTGGCAGGCCGGACTTGAGTCCTGTGGATGGGAAGTACAGATTCACATCCCTTTACTCGAAACCCTTATGGCCAGTAGTGTTTTGAATTTCAGAATTTTTCGAATTTAAGAGTGAAAGTGGAGTCTACGGCAGCACCCCGTAATCAGACATTAACACTGCAGTAAAAACGTATGAATACTCACACTAAGTGGGATAAATAAAGGCTACAAATACTACTATGGTTTATTTTTAGATTAATATATTGATAAATGAAATAATGGGACAGTTATACGCCAGGAACATGATTCTCAAGACGATTATCAAGATGATTGACAGACAGTGTTTTTAAAGACTTCTTCAAGTGTCATCTGTCTTATTAACATAGGTTTCTGTCTAAGCAATCTCTCTTTAATTGAGTAAATTGCCATAATCTCTTGCTCACTGATAAATGCACATTGTTCAAGGCCAGCATTTAACTGATCACACATTTTCACCATATTGTCTATGGGGACTTTTTCACCTATTTTTCCTATTTTTCATTAGTTTTTGTCATCACTGTCACTATAATACTTCAGTAACTTGTCTTTGTTTCTTTAAATCAATGGTAGTTCCAACACCATATTCTTCAGTAAGACGCCACACTGACACACCACGATCAAGCTTGTGCAGTAACTCTACTTTCAGATGTCAGATGCTTCCTTTTCTTTTTCTCACTTTTACCCATAGGGGTATCTGCAGCTCTTTTTGACTTTTTCACAGTGAAATTAAACAGTCTCAAAATAAAAAGCTAAAACAAAATATCAGCGAACAACAGACGCATGTGTGAACACTACAAACGCTGAGACACAACTGATGCCTGCCACTCTGGCTGTCAGTGCTGGGTCATGCCGCCACATGGCGGCATTAGAGTTATGTAGAGATGACTGATGCTCCACACTCCACGAAAAAACTTCGGTTTTCTGAACTTTTCAAATTTCAGAATTTTGGATGAAGGGATGTGGACCTGTACAGTGCCTGCACTCTGAAGGAGGGGTTAATGTTGCAGTTTTATAACTGAAGTGTAAGAGCATCTCTGGCAAGACAGTGATGAGGTGAATGATGGTGAAAGTTTTTCTTTTTCGGGCTACCCTACCTTGGTGGGAGACGGGTGATGTGTTAGTAAAAAAATAATTAACGAGATTCATTATTCGCACTAATCAAGACCTGGCAACTATCAGCTACTGTATAGTTAATTAAAAAAAAATACTGTATGTATACTGTACATATCATTTGTTTTACTTTTAATATAATACTGTATTTTTATTCACAGTGATAATGTGCAAGTGTGGTGAAAGTGTTGAATGATGATGAAAGTATTTTCTTTTTGGGGATTTTCTTTCTTTTTTGGGTCACCCTGCCTCGGTGGGAGACGGCCGACTTGTTGAAAAAAAAAAAAAAAGTGTATTGAGAGCAGAAAGTGCAAGAAAGCTCACATGTTTTTTATTTTGAACTTGATCTCTGTTTATCTTCTAACAAGGACATAGTTGCATTTGATTCTAAATAATCCACTAATACCATCAACCTCTGCATTACTAGCCCTTCAAAGGAGGTGCCTAGATGCTGGTGAAGGGCTCTTGATCCAAAGAATTTGAGATACCACTCCCTTGAATAACACCTGATTACCTTCCATTTCCCCAAGTGTTATATATATTTTCTTTGTGTGTTTAGCACTGCCTCATGAGTATAAAAATCATATGTACTTACTAATAATCAGCATTAATAGGCTACATATTCTTGATCTTTTTCTTGCAGATAGTATGTCTATTCAACTCTAGCAGACAAATGTGGTATATTTTAACAGCCTAGAGCTTTTTACTTCTATTAACAATGGATACAGGTTTGGGAGAAGCTTGAAGCTCTCCATTAATGAGGAGAGCTGAGTAACTTATACCAGTTCATCAGATGCACTGTGTGTATGTGTGACAGTTGGCACAGTGTGAAGGCTCAGTTATGCTACATACAATTTTGATTATTTGATGAATTTATATATTTTTTTGCTAAAATGCATGGATTAAAATACGTAATTTTTGTTTATCATGCATAATTTTTGTTGTGCATAAATGCTGAGCTGGGCCAACAGGTGACTTATACCTCATGTAATGAAACAAGATACAGTAAACATTTAAAATACTCTACTACATGTAGTACTGTTGTATAATTAGAATATATTTATATATGACACATAAAAATTAATGTAAATCTTTGTATTGGTTAAAGCAGTATGTCCTTTAAAGTTACAAATCACTGTAATAGAGTGTAGGTTTGTCAGCTTTCAGTTTGTTGCCACTTTTAGGACAGAGTGGGGATACATCAGGTACTTTTCATAAGAATATTAATATAACATTCCATGCATGTCATAAGAGGCAACTAAAATACTGGGAGCAAGGGGGTAGTAATACTTTCTCCTGTATAAATTACTAAATGTCAGAAGAAAAACTTTCATTCTTTTTTTTTTTAGGTCACCCTGCCTTTGTGGGATATGGCCAGTGTGCTGAAAAAACATCTCTAACATTAAAAGTTACAGATAGGCTTATTTAGATTGTTCATAGTATAGGTACATTTTTTTTTTCAGCAAACCAGTATATCCCAACAAGGCAGGGTGACCTAAGAAGAAAAAAAAGTGTTTTACTTTTTAGTGTATGTAAAGGTAGAAAGCTGGAAGTGAACATAGATAAGAGTAAGGTGATGAGGGTATCAAATGATTTAGATAAAGAAAAATTGGATGTCACATTGGGGGAGGGAGAATGGAAGAAGTGAATGTTTTCAGATATTTGAGAGTTGACTTGTCAGTGGATGGGTTTTTGAAGGATGAGGTTAACCATAGAATTAATGAAGGAAAAAAGGTGAGTGGTACATTGAGGTATCTGTGGAGACAAAGAAAATTATCCATGGAGGCAAAGAAGGGAATATACGAGAGTATAGTGGTACCAACACTCTTATATGGGTGTGAAGCATGGGTTGTAAATGCTGCAGCGAGGAGGCAGCTGGAGGCAGTGGAGATGTCGTGTCTAAGGGCAATGTGTGGTGTAAATATTATGCAAAGAATTCGTAGTGTGAAAATTAGGAGGTATGGGGTTATTGAAAGTATTAGAGGGCTGAAGAGGGGCTGTTGAGGTGGTTTGGTCATTTAGAGAGAATGGAACAAAGTAGGGAAAGGAAGGCGGGATAGGAGTCATCCCTGAAAAGTTGGAGAAGGGGGTAAAAGAGGTTTTGTGGGCAAGGGGCTTGTACTTCCAGCAGGCGTGCATGAGCCTGTTAGATGGGAGTGAATGGAGATGAATAGTTTTTGGGACCTGACGAGATGTTGGAGTGTGAGCAGGGTAATATTTTGTGAAGGGATTCAGGGAAACTGGTTAGCTGGAATTGACTCCTGGAAATGGGAAGTACAATGCCTGCACTTTAAAGGAGGAGTTTGTGAGGGACGTCTAAGCTGTTGTATCTGAGCACCTCTGCAAAGACAGTGATTATGTATGAGTAATGGTGAAAGTGTTGAATGATGAAAGTTTTTTCTTTCTTTTTGGGTCACCCTGCCTCAGTAGGAAACAGCCAACGTGTTAAAAAACAAATTATACAGAAGAGGTTACTAACCTCTTGCTCCCTACTGTAAGCCATGCGTCTCTTACGACACGCATGGCTTACAGAGGACAAATTCCTTTCCACTTCCCCATGGAGATAAAATGTATAAAGAAGAGCAAGAACTATTAAGAAAATAGAGGAAAACCCTGATGGGTGTGACCTAAGTCTAAGTAGAAGTAGCAAAATATACCTGTTATCTTACATGCTTATGAGACAGACAAAAAGACACCAGCAATCCTACCATCATGTAAAACAATTACAGGTTTCTATTTCACACTCATTTGGTAGGACGATAGTACCTCCCTGGGCGGTTGCTGTCTACCAACCTACTACCTTAGTATAGGTACATACCTTGACTATTTTGTCCATGGCATATATCATTACATGATAAAAGGTTTGAGAAGTAGAAAAGTTTTGCTTCAAGGATCTTCTCTAGAATATTTATGTAAAATCAGGCTATGTATGATGCCTTACTCTAATTCTTTTATAATATAATCAGGGTACAGAACTTGGCTAATTTCCCTGTAACAAATAACATTTCATGGCATCGTTTTGAAGGATCAGTTTTTCAAATGGTATTTCTTGTGGTTCCCTAATTATACATAGCTGTTCCCATCATTTCTTAGCTGTTACTGTAAAAAAAAATTATTTAGCAAAGGAGATATAATGAGGAATAGTTCAGACGCTGTCTAACCTATCCTCCATATCTGTATGTTTTCTTTAGAATAGAAGCACTTTACCTTTTTACAGTTACATAAAATTAACAGATTCCTTTGCTCACTTAAAAAATACGTACTGTACTGGACATAAAAATTTTACCTTGACAAACTCTATGGTCAAACTCCAATCACAATAGTGGGGCAAGTACCTTATATAATGCAGTAAGATAACAGTAAGCAGGTGTTGTTACAATATGCAAAACAACCACTGTGAACAAAATAGTGAAATTCCAGGCACTTTCATGATTTCTCACATTATCAAGGACCTGCAAAAACAACAGAACAGCAGAAGGCTGTATAAGGCTGAGATATCACCTCACGGTCATGTCTGACATTACACCAATCCCATTATGATGTGGGTGGGATAGTCAAGGACCTGTCAAACATAGCTTCAATTCTTCAAATTTTATTAATTATAAATTAATGTAATTTGTATAACCTAAACCAGTATTCATATTAAATTCACACAATATCGAGTGTGAAGATATAATTTTTGTCTTCACTCAGTTCTACACCACTGTCTGATCTATCACCACTCTTCCTTACATACTTTGAAGTGCCAGATGTACTAACATTAAAATTTGTATTATTGATATTTATTTTATATGCTGGTACTGTGTGTATCTGTAAAGGTAAATATACTTTAGAAATTCTGTGGTAGAGAGAAATTTTGATGTTAATACATATTGTATCCATGAACACTGTCACATTAAAAAGTGGCACATTTACACAACTACTACTTACTGTACATTTTTGTTATGTATGCTTGCTGGTTGTACGCTCATGTATATAATACTACGTACTTTGTAACACATTTTGTTATTAGTCTTAGCTGTGTCAGGATATGTAGTCACATCAGTTTAGTAGTTTGGATTGTCTTAATTTTGCATTATAATTACTAAAGAATCTTTAGATAAGTCTGTTATCAGTTGATTTAGACTAACATTGATATAATTGTAGTTTTTGGTAAGACATATTTAAATACAGAATATTTGTCTTTCATGTACAGTATATTTAAAAATCATATAAAATTGTAACTGAATTCCTTGCGATTATATTTGAAGAGCCCGGAATGGTTATGTTCCAAAAGCGAGGCTTCCTGGTGAAAGAGAGTGTTGGGAATGCAGTCATCCCAGTCGTGCGCAAGAATGGAGCTGACGGTGAAATTTCTGTGAAATGGCGAACTGTTGACAAGAGTGCTATTTCTGGCCATGATTATCAAGGTGGGGAAGGCACACTTGTCTTCAAACACACAGAGGTAAGTTTTTGTGTTATTTATATTTGTATTTTTTTTTCTTCTTTTGTTAAAAATGTTAGCTACCAGTTTGGGTGCATGATTTACTAAACATTAACTGGAAACAGTGCCTAGGTTGGGTGAATAGTAATTTGTTAAACATTATACAGTTACTAGGTTTGGTGGATAATAATTTAATTAGCACAGTTATTTGAAGTTAGTACTTTAATGGTTTGAGTAACTTTGAAACAAGTAGAAGAGAGTGAGTTTCTGCATCTTCATGAACATGTGGAAAGGAAGGGAACAATAGCAGAATAGGCATAGATAACATAGTATGGAAGATATTTTTCTGGCCAAAGTAATGACTTGTCCAATTTTCTTAAACTGGACCTAAGAAGCTATGAAGAAATGAGCAAGTATCAACCTCTGGTATGTTATCTTCTGCTGCCATTGGTATGCAGTTGGGACAACTATCTCCAGTATGACAAGGTCTTATTTGCTAAGCAAACCTGTGACAGTCCTCTCTGACTAATATTGCTAGACAGGAGGGGGATTTGTATTAATATTGGTAGAATTTTTTTTTTCAACAAACCGGCCGTATCCCACCAAGGCAGGGTGGCCTAAAAAGAAAAAACGAAAGTGTTGGTAGAATTACCGACAATATATTAAGTAAAAGGATGCAAATGTAACTAAAGTGACATTTTATTGTGGCAACTTTTTGCTCTCCAGGAGCTCTACCGAGCCGTAACGGCTTGATAAAGCTCCTGGAGAGCGCAGTGTTGCCACAATAAAATGTTACATTAGTTGCATTTGTGTCCTTTTACTTTACAGGAGGGGGATTTGTTGCTGAACCTAGTATAGTAGCTGAAATAGGCCCTTAAGAAGACTAAAGATAATTATCATCATCATGAGAGCTTTCCATGTTGAGGCACAAAACGATACATGAACAGTCTAAAATCTGTTGGTGACTTGTGCTCAACATTGGGGACACAGAGCTTAGCTAATGAAAGAATATGAAGCTTCCTGATAGAGAAATTGGAAAAGTGGAAGAGGCATGCTGAGCTGAGGGTAATGAAGTCCGCTAATAGTTTAGGGAGGTAAAACTATAGTGATTACATTCTTTAGTAGTTCATCAGCACCCACACAAAGAATTTAAGATTACTGAAAAAGCATTGCTGACACTAACGCACAACTTTGGTTTGGTGGTATATACATTGTATATATTAAATCTCTCTTCTTCATGGTTACCTGTTTTCTAATCTATTTCCAGAACATACTTTCTGTAATCCATTTTTCATATGTTATAAATGATTAACTCTTTCAGGGTCCAGAGGCCAAATTTCAAAATGTGCACCAGGGTCCAAGAATTTTCAAAAAAAAAAAAAAAAAAAAAAATATTTTTTCATATGAGATGGTAGAATCTTTTTCTGAAGGTAATAAAACAAAAAGTACTAAATTTGATGGAAAATTGATGAAATTATGCTCTCGCGAATTTTGATGTGTCAGTGATATTTACGCATTGGCGATTTTGCCGACTTTGACTCCCATTTTAGGCCAATTGCATTATCCCAGTCGACCAAATTCTTAGCTATTTCACTAGTATTACTTCTATTCTATCGATTGAGCACAAGAAATTGCCAAGTCAACTGTTTCAACTACAAAATATAGTGATCGGAAATTGGTAATTTGGCCAAAGTTCAAAATATTCCAGTTACAAAATAGGGTCTCGAATAAACAATGCAGGCATTCCAGGCACAAAACTAACATTTCCTCTGTTCATTAGTTATGTTTTCAGGCTTTACAAATGAATTCTGTTTTGATTTTTTATTCACATAATGAATTTTTATTCAAACCAAAAAATAGAAGATGTACTGTTATGCAATATTGTAATAATTGTATAAATAATATCACCACAGTTATGAACATATAATAGACCCACCAGCTGGTGTGTATTAGATGTGTGAGGTCATTTGTTTACTCTTGAACATCGGCAAAAATTTAACATTTCCGCTACTTTGAGCTCAGTTTCAAGCCATTTCCAGTATTAAAACAAATCAGAATCATCTCTATTTCTGTAAAATATCTTCTATTCTATCAAACAAGACCAAGAAATTGCAAATACAACTATAAAAAACATAAAGAAAGCACTGCAAAGTCGCTGTTTTAATCGAAAATTACAGTGTTTTTTCTCTCATGCACTGTGTGCTGCAGGATTTGTTTTATGTGGTGCACACATACCACAGAGATGTATTCTCTCATATCTAGGCCCAAATTTACCACTCACAGCTTATCAGAGTGAGCTGAGCTCATGGCATAGATCTACGGTTTGGATCCTCAACTCAGAGCCGTAGACCTATGGCAAGGACCTCAAAGGGTTAAATATAATTAGTTTATGCAAACTTAACCTTACCTAAAATAATGGAGATATCAAGAGGGTGTATAAAGGTAGAAAGTTGAAAGTGAACATAGATAAGAGTAAAGTGATGAGGGTATCAAACTATTTAGATAAAGAAAAATTGGATATCACATTGGAGACAGGGGGTATGGAAGAGGTGAATGTTTTCAGATATTTGGGAGTTGACATGTCAGTGGATGGGTTTATGAAGGATGAGGTTAACTATAGAATTGATGAAGAAAAAAAGGCAAGTGGTGCATTTAGGTATATGTGGAGACAAAAAATCATTATCTATGGAGGCAAAGAAGGGAATGCATAAAAGTATAGTGGTACCAACACACTTATGTGGGTGTGAAGCTTGGGTTGTAAATGCTGCAGCGAGGAGGCAGTTGGAGGCAGTGGAGATGTCCTGTCTAAGGGCAATGTGTGGTGTAAATATTATGCAGAGAATTCAGAGTGTGGAAATTAGGAGAAGGTATGGAGTTAATAAAAGTATTAGTCAGAGGGCTGAAGAGGGGCTGTTGAGGTGGTTTGGTCATTTAGAGAGAATGGATCAAAGTAGAATGACATGTAGAGCATATAAATCTGTAGGGGAAGGAAAGTGGGGTAGGGGTCATCCTCGAAAAGGTTGGAGGGAGGGGGTAAAGGAGGTTTTGTGGGCAAGGGGCTTGGACTTCCAGCAAGCGTGCATGAGCATGTTAAATAGGAGTGAATGGAGACGAATGGTTTTTGGGACCTGGCGAGGTGTTGGAGTGTGAGCAGGGTAATATTTAGTGAAGGGATTCAGGGAAACCGGTTATTTTTATATAGCCGGACTTGAGTACTGGAAATGGGAAGTGTACAGAGCGTGCACTTTAAAGGGGTTTTGATATTGGCAGTTTGGAGGGATATGTTATACAGTATATATTTATGTATGCTTCTAAACTGCTGTATTTGGGTGCCTCTGCAAAGACAGTAATTATGTATGAGTGAAGTGAAAGTGTTGAATGATGAAAGTATTTTCTTTTTGGGGATTTTCTTTCTTTTTGGGTCGCCCTGCCTTGGTGGGAGACAGCCAACTTGTTAAAAAAAAAAAAAAAAAACAGGTACAGTGGACCCTCAGGTAACTGGCAAAATTCATTCCTGAAAATCAGGAATGCATTACATGAACTAAAGAACATGCATGAAAAATAGGGTCATAGTCCAGATATAACCCTAACAGACATTTGTTAGTTATTACAAGAAGCACTTATAAAGTGTGGGGAGGGATAATGTGGCATAGTTGCTTAGTTAAATATAACAAGGTTTATCATCTTGTATACATACACACATACTACATACCAACAGTGTAAAAATAAAAGCCACATTTGCTTACCAGATTATACCAAACATACAGGAACTAGCAAAACCTATACCAAACGAACATACCAAAGAAACAAATAACTAATAAAATGTTGAATGCAACATCAGGTGCCTTCTTCAAGAGGTATATATTGGGCCATGTTGAGCAATCAGCACAGTCAGCATTTGTGAAAATGAAAGCCACATTTTCTGCATCAAATTGTACCAATGTTCAGGAACTCGCCACACTTAAGCCAAACAAACATGTATGAAAGATGAATTTGAGACAGTAGTAGTCAAGAACAAATAAAAACTGTAATACAGTGTTGTGGGGAGCTGTCTGGATGTAGAGAACAGCGTTGACTATGGCTTTAGTTCCCAGCAAAATATCGTATATGTAATGCGTTATTACATATCTGAATTTTCTGTACAACTTATATTTTGTAGGATCCATGTATGTTGATAAGTGTCCTGTTTAGTGGAAGAGAAAGTAACACCACTTTGGCAGAAGTGAAGCTAGAGTCAGCAGAGAAATAGGACATCCCTCACCTCCTTTCTCAAAATATTATACAGGACTGCCCCATATATTCAGCAGGTTAGGTTCAGGGCTACCACTGTGAAGTGAAGCATAGCCTTTTTTCATTTTCAAATGCATATAAAAGCCTGATGGGTTTACTCTCTCATATATTGTGAGCAGTATCGCTATGCCTAAAAAATGCATATGCAGTACACTTACCTTAAAATATTTTCATCCTTAGCTTGCAATGAGTGGTGAACATACTTACTGTAGGAAGTCTGAATAAATGAAGAATGTGTATAATTGAAAACTGCTGCATTAGCCAAATGCTATTAAGCAAAGCACTCTAAAGTGGGGCCCTCCTGTATACAACAGGGGCAGCAGCTGGCAAGACTTGCTCATACATCTTCACTTATTTTCTTGTCAAATAGATGCTGCTTTACCTTACCTGGGAAGATTAAAGAAAGATCTGGAATATGCAATGTGTTTTGGAATAGGTAATGTCATAGCAAAGCCATAGTGAATATGTTTACATGAGGGTCCTGTTCGTACCACTCTTAGGTTAGTTACCACATACGGTCAGCGTTAAATACTGGAAGGTGGAAAAGAACTTTTTTTTTTTTTTTCATTATAGAATGTGTCTACAATGCCTGATATCATGTTTACACTATTATATATTAAGTGCTCAATACAGCTAGGCACAAAAAAAAAGTAAAATAAATACACAGTAGGTTGGTAGACAGCAACCACCCAGGGAAGTACTACCGTCCTGCCAGATGACTGTGAAACAAAAACCTGTAACTGTTTTGCATGATGGTAGGATTGCTGGTTTCTTTTTCTGTCTCATAAACACGCTAAGATAACAGGGATATCTTGCTACTCCTACTTACACTTTGGTCACACTTCACAGACACGCACATGCATATATATATATACATACATCTAGGTTTTTCTCCTTTTTCTAAATAGCTCTTGTTCTTTTTTATTTCTTCTATTGTCCATGGGGAAGTGGAAAAGAATCTTTCCTCCGTAAGCCATGCGTGTCGTATGAGGCGACTAAAATGCCGGGAGCAATGGGCTAGTAACCCCTTCTCCTGTATACAATTACTAAAAAGAGAAGAAGAAAAACTTTATAAAACTGGGTTGCTTAAATGTGCGTGGATGTAGTGCGGATGACAAGAAACAGATGATTGCTGATGTTATGAATGAAAAGAAGTTGGATGTCCTGGCCCTAAGCGAAACAAAGCTGAAGGGGGTAGGAGAGTTTCAGTGGGGGGAAATAAATGGGATTAAATCTGGAGTATCTGAGAGAGTTAGAGCAAAGGAAGGGGTAGCAGTAATGTTAAATGATCAGTTATGGAAGGAGAAAAGAGAATATGAATGTGTAAATTCAAGAATTATGTGGATTAAAGTAAAGGTTGGATGCGAGAAGTGGGTCATAATAAGCGTGTATGCACCTGGAGAAGAGAGGAATGCAGAGGAGAGAGAGAGATTTTGGGAGATGTTAAGTGAATGTATAGGAGCCTTTGAACCAAGTGAGAGAGTAATTGTGGTAGGGGACTTGAATGCTAAAGTAGGAGAAAACTTTTAGAGAGGGTGTGGTAGGTAAGTTTGGGGTGCCAGGTGTAAATGATAATGGGAGCCCTTTGATTGAACTTTGTATAGAAAGGGGTTTAGTTATAGGTAATACATATTTTAAGAAAAAGAGGATAAATAAGTATACACGATATGATGTAGGGCGAAATGACAGTAGTTTGTTGGATTATGTATTGGTAGATAAAAGACTGTTGAGTAGACTTCAGGATGTACATGTTTATAGAGGGGCCACAGATATATCAGATCACTTTCTAGTTGTAGCTACACTGAGAGTAAAAGGTAGATGGGATACAAGGAGAATAGAAGCATCAGGGAAGAGAGAGGTGAAGGTTTATAAACTAAAAGAGGAGGCAGTTAGGGTAAGATATAAACAGCTATTGGAGGATAGATGGGCTAATGAGAGCATAGGCAATGGGGTCGAAGAGGTATGGGGTAGGTTTAAAAATGTAGTGTTAGAGTGTTCAGCAGAAGTTTGTGGTTACAGGAAAGTGGGTGCAGGAGGGAAGAGGAGCGATTGGTGGAATGATGATGTAAAGAGAGTAGTAAGGGAGAAAAAGTTAGCATATGAGAAGTTTTTACAAAGTAGAAGTGATGCAAGGAGGGAAGAGTATATGGAGAAAAAGAGAGAGGTTAAGAGAGTGGTGAAGCAATGTAAAAAGAGAGCAAATGAGAGAGTGGGTGAGATGTTATCAACAAATTTTGTTGAAAATAAGAAAAAGTTTTGGAGTGAGATTAACAAGTTAAGAAAGCCTAGAGAACAAATTGATTTGTCAGTTAAAAATAGGAGAGGAGAGTTATTAAATGGAGAGTTAGAGGTATTGGGAAGATGGAAGGAATATTTTGAGGAATTGTTAAATGTTGATGAAGATAGGGAAGCTGTGATTTCGTGTATAGGGCAAGGAGGAATAACATCTTGTAGGAGTGAGGAAGAGCCAGTTGTGAGTGTGGGGGAAGTTCGTGAGGCAGTAGGTAAAATGAAAGGGGGTAAGGCAGCCGGGATTGATGGGATAAAGATAGAAATGTTAAAAGCAGGTGGGGATATAGTTTTGGAGTGGTTGGTGCAATTATTTAATAAATGTATGGAAGAGGGTAAGGTACCTAGGGATTGGCAGAGAGCATGCATAGTTCCTTTGTATAAAGGCAAAGGGGATAAAAGAGAGTGCAAAAATTATAGGGGGATAAGTCTGTTGAGTGTACCTGGTAAAGTGTATGGTAGAGTTATAATTGAAAGAATTAAGAGTAAGACGGAGAATAGGATAGCAGATGAACAAGGAGGCTTTAGGAAAGGTAGGGGGTGTGTGGACCAGGTGTTTACAGTGAAACATATAAGTGAACAGTATTTAGATAAGGCTAAAGAGGTCTTTGTGGCATTTATGGATTTGGAAAAGGCGTATGACAGGGTGGATAGGGGGGCAATGTGGCAGATGTTGCAAGTGTATGGTGTAGGAGGTAGGTTACTGAAAGCAGTGAAGAGTTTTTACGAGGATAGTGAGGCTCAAGTTAGAGTATGTAGGAAAGAGGGAAATTTTTTCCCAGTAAAAGTAGGCCTTAGACAAGGATGTGTGATGTCACCGTGGTTGTTTAATATTTTATAGATGGGGTTGTAAGAGAAGTAAATGCGAGGGTCTTGGCAAGAGGCGTGGAGTTAAAAGATAAAGAATCACACACAAAGTGGGAGTTGTCACAGCTGCTCTTTGCTGATGACACTGTGCTCTTGGGAGATTCTGAAGAGAAGTTGCAGAGATTGGTGGATGAATTTGGTAGGGTGTGCAAAAGAAGAAAATTAAAGGTGAATACAGGAAAGAGTAAGGTTATGAGGATAACAAAAAGATTAGGTGATGAAAGATTGAATATCAGATTGGAGGGAGAGAGTATGGAGGAGGTGAACGTATTCAGATATTTGGGAGTGGACGTGTCAGCGGATGGGTCTATGAAAGATGAGGTGAATCATAGAATTGATGAGGGAAAAAGAGTGAGTGGTGCACTTAGGAGTCTGTGGAGACAAAGAACTTTGTCCTTGGAGGCAAAGAGGGGAATGTATGAGAGTATAGTTTTACCAACGCTCTTATATGGGTGTGAAGCGTGGGTGATGAATGTTGCAGCGAGGAGAAGGCTGGAGGCAGTGGAGATGTCATGTCTGAGGGCAATGTGTGGTGTGAATATAATGCAGAGAATTCGTAGTTTGGAAGTTAGGAGGAGGTGCGGGATTACCAAAACTGTTGTCCAGAGGGCTGAGGAAGGGTTGTTGAGGTGGTTCGGACATGTAGAGAGAATGGAGCGAAACAGAATGACTTCAAGAGTGTATCAGTCTGTAGTGGAAGGAAGGCGGGGTAGGGGTCGGCCTAGGAAGGGTTGGAGGGAGGGGGTAAAGGAGGTTTTGTGTGCGAGGGGCTTGGACTTCCAGCAGGCATGCGTGAGCGTGTTTGATAGGAGTGAATGGAGACAAATGGTTTTTAATACTTGACGTGCTGTTGGAGTGTGAGCAAAGTAACATTTATGAAGGGATTCAGGGAAACCGGCAGGCCGGACTTGAGTTCTGGAGATGGGAAGTACAGTGCCTGCACTCTGAAGGAGGGGTGTTAATGTTGCAGTTTTAAAAACTGTAGTGTAAAGCACCCTTCTGGCAAGACAGTGATGGAGTGAATGATGGTGAAAGTTTTTCTTTTTCGGGCCACCCTGCCTTGGTGGGAATCGGCCGGTGTGATAATAAATAAAAAAAAAAACATATAATAGTTTCCTTAAAATATGGTGCTGGTTGCCCTTCCCTTGTGCAACTGTTGTATGAAAACGGTAGAAATGCAGTAAAAGCATTGGACATAATGAGCAGTGGCTCAATTGAAAGCCAGGAAAACTGTGGAGTACCAGAGAGAGTGCTGTATATGCAGGGCCCTCCTGTATTGTATTTCTACTTAAGTTGTGTATTGTGTACTTAAGTTTTCTTGTGTAAACCCTTATTCAGTTTTCTTTATTAATCACTAACATGTTCAGTTCTATTAAAAACTAGAGTAGATATAGTAGGACTATCAGCAAGGAGGTGAGTTAGTGTGTTGCGGCAGTGGAGGCATCAAAAGTGAATTCATTTCCAATCACTTCATTACAAAGTATGCAATAATCAGAAAGTGTAGCATTTTGAGCAACATTTAGTCTAGTTTGGTTTATTTTACTTTAAGTCTATACATGGTATTAATGGGAAGTAAAATTAAAAAATAGGCTTACTGCAGCTTCCATAAGCTTAGAAGACATCTTAATAAGAATACAGTGGACCCCCGGTTAACGATATTTTTTCACTCCATAAGTATGTTCAGGTGCCAGTACTGACCAAATTTATTCCCATAAGGAATATTGTGAAGTAGATTATTCCTTTCAGACCCCCAAACATACACGTACAAACGCACTTACATAAATACACTTACATAATTGGTCGCATTCGGAGGTAATCGTTATGCGGGGGTCCACTGTACAGTGATATACACTTTTGTTTGGTGGTAATGTAATGGACAAAATAAAATGATTTTTTTATTGATTCTGTATCATAATGATTCCTTCTAGATTACACAAAACATTGAGATTCCTATCATTGATGACATGGCCCCCGAGAAAGATGAACACTTTGAGGTTGAATTGTTTGACCCTGAAGGTGGTGCAAAGTTGGGTCAAATAAATCGAACTGCAGTTACAATTACAAATGATGATGGTGAGTCACATGTTTATATACTGTTGCATATATATAAAAAAATGAATCAGACAATGTATTACAACATTAAAAGAGAATATACTATAGTTATTAGCCTACTTTTTTTATATCTTTTTCTTTTCAGATTTTAACAATGTTTTGAGCAATATGATGATGATGACAAATGCCAATCTTCACTCACTGCAAGTACACCATGAGACTTATATTGGTCAGATTAAAGATGCTCTCAATGTGAATGGCGGGGATCTTGAAAATGCATCTGGCATGGACTATTTCATGCACTTCCTTACCTTTGGCTGGAAGGTAAGGCATATCCTGAAACACTATATATTTTTTTTTTGTATGAATTTACTAAAATTTAATTCCTGTACATGTATTTTGAAGTGTGTTCACACTAAATTTAAGCCCAAGTTATAGTACCAATTGCTACAGATTCATGGTTTGTGTCATTGCTGAATGTCATGTATGAAAAACTGAATTGGGGATCAAAACTGTGCCTTGAGTAACAGAATTTTTCACAGCATATTGTAATCCCTTAAATAGAGCCAATTATGGTACCTGAGATAAAGCGACTTTAATATCTAAGTAACTATGATAATGGTAAGCATCTAAGGTAACTTGAGCATGTAAGATCAAGTTAAGTAAATAAGATAAAGGTATATACCCAAGATGCTCAATAGTGCCTTTGGTCCCATTTTAGGAAAGCACCCTCTAGTGTAGAGTATCCCCATGTAAAAAAAAATTAAGATTTATCACACTGAAGATGCAATTTCTGCTTTGGGATTGTTGTTATCCAATTAATTGTGTTAGAAACAGCTGTTTCTGACACAAGCAAAATAAAAGCAGCTTATTGGATATCACATTGGAGAGAGGGAGTATGGGAGAAGTGAATGGTTTTAGGTATTTGGGAGTTGACGTGTCAGCGGATGGGTTTATGAAAGATGAGGTTAACCATAGAATTGATGAAGGAAAAAAGGTGAGTGGTGCATTGAGGTATATGTGGAGACAAAAAACATTATCTATGGAGGCAAAGAAGGGAATGTATGAAAGTATAGTGGTACCAACACACTTATGGGTGTGAAGCTTGGGTTGTAAATGCTGCAGTGAGGAAGTGGTTGGAGGCAGTGGAGATGTCCTGTCTAAAGGCAATTTTTTATTTTATTAACGCATCGGCTGATTCCCACCAAGGCAGGGTGGCCCGAAAAAGAAAAACTTTCATCATCATTCACTCCATCACTGTCTTGTCAGAGGGGTGCTTTACACTACAGTTATAAAACTGCAGCATTAACGCCCCTCTTTCAGAGTGTAGACACTGTACTTCCCATCTTCAGGACTCAAGTCCGGCCTGCCGGTTTCCCTGAATCCCTTCATAAATGTTACTTTGCTCACACTCCAACAGCACATCAAGTATTAAAAACTATTTGTCTCCATTCACTTCTATCAAAAACACTCATGCATGCTTGCTGGAAGTCCAAGCCCCTCGCACACAGAACCTCCTTTACCCCCTCCCTTCAACCCTTCCTAGGCCGACCCCTACCCCGCCTTCCCTCAACTTCAGATTTATATACTCTCGAAGTCATTCTGTTTTGTTCCATTCTCTCTACATGTCCGAACCATCTCAACAACCCCTTCTCAGCCCTCTGGATAATAGTTTTGGTAATCCCACACCTTCTCCTAACTACGAATTCTCTGCATTATATTCATACCACACATTGCCCTCAGACATGACATCTCCACTGCCTCCAGCCTTCTCCTCGTTGCAACATTCATCACCCATGCTTCACACCCATACGAGAGTGTTGGTACAACTATATTCTCATACATTCCCCTTTTTTGCTTCCACGGACAAAGTTCTTTGTCTCCACAGACTCCTAAGTGCACCACTCACCCTTTTCCCCTCATCAATTCTGTTATTCACTTCATCCTTCATAGACCCATCTGCTGACACGTCCACTCTTAAATATTTGAATACATTCACCTCCTCCATACTCTCTCCCTCCAATCTGCTATCCAGCCTTTCGTCACCTAATCTTTTTGTTATCCTCATAACCTTATTCTTTCCTATATTCACTTTTAATTTTCTTCTTTTACATATCCTAAAGGCAATGTGTGGTGTAAATATTATGCAGAAAGTTCGGAGTGTGGAAATTGAGAGAAGATTTTGTGTTAATAAAAGTATTAGTCAGAGGGCTGAAGAGGGGTTGTTTAGTTATTTAGAGAGAATGGATCAAAGTAGAATGACATGGAGAGCGTATAAATCTGTAGGGGAAGAAAGGTAGGGTAGAGGCCATCCTCGAAAAGGTTGGAGGGAGGGGGTAAAGGAGGTTTTGTGGGCGAGGGGCTTGGACTTCCAGCAATCATGCGTGAGCATGTTAGATAGGAGTGAATGGAGTCGAATGGTTTTTGGGACTTGACGAGGTGTTGGAGTGTGAGCAGGATAATATTTAGTGAATGGATTTGGGGAAACTGGTTATTTTTATATAGCCAGACTTGAGTACTGGAATTGGGAAGTACAATGCCTACACTTTAACCCTTAAACTGTCCAAACGTAGATCTATGTTCACTTGCATGGCACTCCGAATATTTTGAAAATATTTTTTTTTTTTTTTAATGAAAAGCACAGTTTTCTACATTTTTTTTTTTCATGAAACCGGCTGTATCCCACCGAGGCAGGGTGACCCAAAAAGAAAAACAAAAGTTTCTCTTTTTAAAATTAGTAATTTATACAGGAGAAGGGGTTACTAGCCATTTTCTCCTGGCATTTTAGTCGCCTCTTATGACACGCATGGCTTACGGAGGAAGAATTCTGTTCCACTTCCCCATGGAGACAAGAGGAAATAAACAAGAACAAGAACTAGAAAAAATAAAAGAAAGCCCAGAGGGGTATGTATGTATATATATGCTTGTACAGTGGTCACTCAATAATTGTCCGGCCTGAAAGTCGTTCATTTCGGAAATAGTCCCATTATTTCGTCTAAACATTGGCTTGCAAATGGTCCGTTAACTCGCTAATCGTCCTTTGTCCGGGACGGGTACTCATGCTCTGAGCTGCCTGGGCCTGCCTTCTCAGCCAGTTTGAACATAAGAACATAAGAAAGGAGGATCACTGCAGCAGGCCTGTTGGCCCATACTAGGCAGGTCCTTTACAATCCATCCCGCTAACAAAACATTTGCCCAACCCAATTTTCAGTGCTACCCAAGAAATAAGCTCTGATAACTCTATCCACTTATTTGCAAGTCCCACTCAAATCCAACCCCTCTCACTCATATATTTATCCAACCTAATTTTGAAACTACCCAAAGTCCTAGCCTCAATAACCCAACTAGGTAGACTGTTCCACTCATCAACTACCCTATTTCCAAACCAATACATTCCTATGTCCTTTCTAAATCTAAACTTATCTAATTTAAATCCATTACTGTGGGTTATCTCTTGAGGAGAGACATCCTCAAGACCTTATTAATGTTCCCTTTCTTAATACCCATCTTCCACTTATACACTTAACATAGCATAAGAACATAAGAATGGAGGAACACTGCAGAAGGCCTACTGGCCCATGTGAGGCAGGTTCTTATCAAAACGACCTCTACCCAAAGCTACCCAAGAAATAACTCCCGTACCCAATGACACCAATCAAACCCAGCCCCTCCCACTCATATATTTGTCCAGTTTCTTCTTAAAGCTACCCAAGGTCCTAGCCTCTACCACCCCACTGGGAAGACTGTTCCACGCATCTACAACTCTACGTTTGGACAGTTTAAGGGTTAAAGGAGGGGTTTGTGATATTGGCAGTTTGGAGGGATGTTATATATTTTTATAGTACGTGGCAATGTGGCAGATGTTGCAAGTGTATGGTGTAGGAGGTAGGTTACTGAAAGCAGTGAAGAGTTTTTACGAGGATAGTGAGGCTCAAGTTAGAGTATGTAGGAAAGAAGGAAATTTTTTCCCAGTAAAAGTAGGCCTTAGACAAGGATGTGTGATGTCACCGTGGTTGTTTAATATATTTATAGATGGGGTTGTAAGAGAAGTAAATGCGAGGGTCTTGGCAAGAGGCGTGGAGTTAAAAGATAAAGAATCACACACAAAGTGGGAGTTGTCACAGCTGCTCTTTGCTGATGACACTGTGCTCTTGGGGGATTCTGAAGAGAAGTTGCAGAGATTGGTGGATGAATTTGGTAGGGTGTGCAAAAGAAGAAAATTAAAGGTGAATACAGGAAAGAGTAAGGTTATGAGGATAACAAAAAGATTAGGTGATGAAAGATTGAATATCAGATTGGAGGGAGAGAGTATGGAGGAGGTGAACGTATTCAGATATTTGGGAGTGGACGTGTCAGCGGATGGGTCTATGAAAGATGAGGTGAATCATAGAATTGATGAGGGAAAAAGAGTGAGTGGTGCACTTAGGAGTCTGTGGAGACAAAGAACTTTGTCCTTGGAGGCAAAAAGGGGAATGTATGAGAGTATAGTTTTACCAACGCTCTATATGGGTGTGAAGCGTGGGTGATGAATGTTGCAGCGAGGAGAAGGCTGGAGGCAGTGGAGATGTCATGTCTGAGGGCAATGTGTGGTGTGAATATAATGCAGAGAATTCGTAGTTTGGAAGTTAGGGGGAGGTGCGGGATTACCAAAACTGTTGTCCAGAGGGCTGAGAAGGGTTGTTGAGGTGGTTCGGACATGTAGAGAGAATGGAGAGAAACAGAATGACTTCAAGAGTGTATCAGTCTGTAGTGGAAGGAAGGCGGGGTAGGGGTCGGCCTAGGAAGGGTTGGGAGGGAGGGGGTAAAGGAGGTTTTGTGTGCGAGGGGCTTGGACTTCCAGCAGGCATGCGTGAGCGTGTTTGATAGGAGTGAATGGAGACAAATGGTTTTTAATACTTGACGTGCTGTTGGAGTGTGAGCAAAGTAACATTTATGAAGGGATTCAGGGAAACCGGCAGGCCGGACTTGAGTCCTGGAGATGGGAAGTACAGTGCCTGCACTCTGAAGGAGGGTGTTAATGTTGCAGTTTAAAAACTGTAGTGTAAAGCACCCTTCTGGCAAGACAGTGATGGAGTGAATGATGGTGAAAGTTTTTCTTTTTTGGGCCACCCTGCCTTGGTGGGAATCGGCCGGTGTGATAATAATAAAAAAAAAAAAAAAAAAAAAAAAAAAAAAAAAAAAAAAATGCTTCTATACTGTTTTATCTAGGTGCCTCTTCAAAAACAGTGATTATATATGAGTGAGGTGAAATTGTTGAATGATGAAAGTATTTTTTTGGGGGGGATTTTCTTTCTTTTTGGGTCACCCTGCCTTGGTGGGAGACGGCAAACTTGTTAAAAAAAAAAAAAAGAAAGGCACCTTCATTATCTTTGAGGTCTTAGCAAGAATCCTCCTCAAAACAGTAAGCCCTGCCATCACATAGTTACTGCTGATACTACATAAGAACATAAAAGAGGAGGAACACTGAAACAGACCTTCTCAAATCCAACTAGAAATATTTGCCCAACCTCTTTTTATGCTACCCAAGCAATAACTTTAATAACTTTTTTTTTTACTCGTATACAAGCTGACTTTTTCCACCATATGTATCACTACCACCTCCATTAGTATTACAACTACTACACCTCACTCTAAGCCTTTATATACCCTCTGTGTCCATGTATTGTTTGTAACAGCTTGACAAAGCTCCTAGAGAGCAAAATGTTCCCACAATAAAATGTCACATTGGTTGCGCTTGTGTCCCATTACGTACTTAAAAGCATTTAAGATAGAAACAAATACATAAAATAGGTAAAATTGGCAATGTGGCAGATGTTGCAAGTGTATGGTGTAGGAGGTAGGTTACTGAAAGCAGTGAAGAGTTTTTACGAGGATAGTGAGGCTCAAGTTAGAGTATGTAGGAAAGAGGGAAATTTTTTCCCAGTAAAAGTAGGCCTTAGACAAGGATGTGTGATGTCACCGTGGTTGTTTAATATATTTATAGATGGGGTTGTAAGAGAAGTAAATGCGAGGGTCTTGGCAAGAGGCGTGGAGTTAAAAGATAAAGAATCACACACAAAGTGGGAGTTGTCACAGCTGCTCTTTGCTGATGACACTGTGCTCTTGGGAGATTCTGAAGAGAAGTTGCAGAGATTGGTGGATGAATTTGGTAGGGTGTGCAAAGAAGAAAATTAAAGGTGAATACAGGAAAGAGTAAGGTTATGAGGATAACAAAAAGATTAGGTGATGAAAGATTGAATATCAGATTGGAGGGAGAGAGTATGGAGGAGGTGAACGTATTCAGATATTTGGGAGTGGACGTGTCAGCGGATGGGTCTATGAAAGATGAGGTGAATCATAGAATTGATGAGGGAAAAAGAGTGAGTGGTGCACTTAGGAGTCTGTGGAGACAAAGAACTTTGTCCTTGGAGGCAAAGAGGGGAATGTATGAGAGTATAGTTTTACCAACGCTCTTATATGGGTGTGAAGCGTGGGTGATGAATGTTGCAGCGAGGAGAAGGCTGGAGGCAGTGGAGATGTCATGTCTGAGGGCAATGTGTGGTGTGAATATAATGCAGAGAATTCGTAGTTTGGAAGTTAGGAGGAGGTGCGGGATTACCAAAACTGTTGTCCAGAGGCTGAGGAAGGGTTGTTGAGGTGGTTCGGACATGTAGAGAGAATGGAGCGAAACAAAAATGACTTCAAGAGTGTATCAGTCTGTAGTGGAAGGAAGGCGGGGTAGGGGTCGGCCTAGGAAGGGTTGGAGGGAGGGGGTAAAGGAGGTTTTGTGTGCGAGGGGCTTGGACTTCCAGCAGGCATGCGTGAGCGTGTTTGATAGGAGTGAATGGAGACAAATGGTTTTTAATACTTGACGTGCTGTTGGAGTGTGAGCAAAGTAACATTTATGAAGGGATTCAGGGAAACCGGCAGGCCGGACTTGAGTTCTGGAGATGGGAAGTACAGTGCCTGCACTCTGAAGGAGGGGTGTTAATGTTGCAGTTTAAAAACTGTAGTGTAAAGCACCCTTCTGGCAAGACAGTGATGGAGTGAATGATGGTGAAAGTTTTTCTTTTTCGGGCCACCCTGCCTTGGTGGGAATCGGCCGGTGTGATAATAAAAATAATAAATAGGTAAAATTGGTCATCTCTTGAGAAAAAATAAAGAAATAAATATGTTTTCAGATTGTTTTCTCATCACATAATACTGAAATATGATGATAATGACATACTGTGAGGTTATGGTATTTGATTTGAGAGTTTTATCCACTAGTGATTTTATCATTTCATACAGAGACAAGTAAAATACGAAGTTATATGGCATCTTTAGCCACTAATAGAACCTTATGTTTTACTTGTCTCTGAGAAGTTTGAGGTAATCAGTCCCTCAGCCCAGGCTGAGGGACTGATTATCTCAAACTTCTCCTCATCTTCCACCTTTTTCTGCATTGGACTGAAGAAGCCACCGTGCGGGAAAACGTTTCTGAAATAAAGATACCCAAAATAAAATTCCATAATCCACGTGTTATTATCATCATGCTGTCGGTATGCTCTGTCATTTTATAATATTCAAGAGGTTTACTTGAATAAAATTCTGAATTTCTGATATCATTTTGAGTTAGCAATTTTGGCAAGCATTCTCTTTTACTCAGAAAATATTGCATGACAAATTTATGGTAAATAAGTTCAGAATTCTTGGTCCTCAAAAAATATCAAATTTCAGATATCATTTTAAATTAAAAATTTATTGTGCATATAATAGTAGTTAACTCCTTAAGAAATCCTAGTTAACTGAAGATCATTGAATCAGTTTGAAATAATAAGGCAGATTTTTTTAAATTGTACCTTTGTTCATGTAGCTACATGTATTCTTATACATTTAACCCTTAAACTGTCCAAATGTAGTTCTACGTTCACGTGTGTAGCACTCCGACCTTTATTATCCCCATTTGAAAGCATGTAAAAAACGTAGATCTACGTTCGGAGTGCTACGCGCGTGAAAGTAGATCTACGTTTGGGCAGTTTAAGGGTTAATTTTAGTTAACTGCATAAGAAATCCTAGTTAAGAATCTATCTAGTTCTTAAGTACAGTATTAGGATTAGTTTAAATGCCTTTCATACTAGTGGCTTTCTTTTGTGCCTAACAATATTTTACTACATGTAAACTACATTATCTTTGTATTGCATAAAAGAAATAAAAGTTTTAATTTGAAGTAATGTCTCCAAATACAATAAATAACTGTCCTTGCTGGCAGTGATATTACATGCTGACTCCTTCACATTTATTCAAGAATGGAGTTTATAACTGAGCACTGTGAGTCATACAGCAAACCATACCACGGATAGGGTTAGAACCCACAATCAGAGAGTCTCAAAACTCCAGACCATCGTGTTAGCCACCAGGTCATACAGCACCCTGGAGAATGGGAGGCATTCAGCTGTGATCCAAGGAGGGGGAGGGCAGATGAAGTGTCCCTCGCCAGCACCACGGAACCCCATTGAGAGGATTTGATAAATTAAAATGCATAGTACGGTAGTCAATGGTACACGCACGATTTTAACTGGGGATCTGGAGGCTTTCAAGCCCACAAGTATAGTAATTAATAATTTTTTTTATTGTGTATTTTCTGTTAAGTAATGATGAATAAAAATTCAGAAGCTAATATCCCATGTTTATTCATTGATTATATTTTTGCTTTTCCACAGATAATCTTTGCACTGGTGCCTCCACCCAGCATCCTTGGTGGCTGGTTGTGTTTCTTTGTCTCTCTAGCAGTAATTGGTGTTCTCACAGCCATTATTGGAGACTTGGCTGCTATTTTTGGTTGTCTTGTAGGCCTTCGTGATTCTGTTACAGGTGTGTCTTTTCAATTAGCACTAAATCTTTTTTAATTAATACAGTTTTAGATATTACAAACATGAGGAATTAGACATATGTGCAATACTTGGATATCTTTATTTGAAGTCATTTTACCAACCATTATCTTGATTAATTCAGTGACTGGCAAAAATGAGGTAATCAGTGCCTCAGTCTTGAAGATCTGTACACAGGAGACAGTAGAAGATGAGGCAATTAGTTCTTCAGCCTGTGTCTAATTCCTTATGTTGTTGGTATTGTATACCACTGTAATAATATGTTCTTTAGATTAGTTCACTGTTACGTTGTTTCCCCTTTTACTTTGATAGTACGGTTCTCACTATATGTTCTAGTGTGGGGTAGCTTAAGCAAAGGCCTTATAAAGTCTAGCGTAATACTTACATTCATGACTGGTTGTCCTCAGTCTCTGAAATCTTTTCACCAGCCCTCTCAACAGGTTATTTAAACTACTATTACAAAAATAGGGATATATTCTAGACAATATACAGAATGTACAAATTAGAAATTCTCCTATTCATATCATAAGCATGCACACTCTTAGCTGCCCTGCTAGAACAGCCACATGGTCTGTTCTGAAACAGTTAGCCCTCCTTTTCTCTTGAAGACCCAGTGTTTTGACACACTGTAGTCATCCTGGGTAGAATGGTTACACCATATTCAAGCACAAATCTTACCTCTGAGACACTCGCATCCTGCCAGGAAAGAGAAGGAGATCCTTCCCAGCATGAAGCCAAAACAAGAGTGAGACAGAGAGAGGGGCCCAGCTAGGCTCTTCCCATCCACCGACCAAAACAAACAAAAGGCTGTCGACAAGCCCAATTATGTAGCTACTACAGTTTTTTTGTTTTTCCCATTTCTACACCTTATTTTACTTTTACAAAAAGAAATACAACTTTATAAACTACCTATTTTAATTGTGTGTGTGTGTGTGTGTGTGTATAGTACACCCTATTCATTTTGAAAATGCAAAGCTTGACTCAATTGACTTTTTCAGCCACAAGAGTGATCTGCCCTTATGACAGAATTAAAGCATTTGTGCCCCCCATCAGTTCAGTATAATTAGGTATTCCAGAGTAACTGTTACTTAGATACATAAATACATGTTGGGTTCTATAGCCCCATAACATTCACCTATATACAGTGGACCCTCGTTTTTTGTAAACATTGGAAGTCGTAATTTTCGAAAATTGTAACTTTTTTTCATCAAAATATTGACTCGCGAATCATCGTTTGACTCGCTAATAGTCATTCATCCCAGACGCATACACATGGCCCCAAGTGGCCCCACACTTCATTCACAGCCAGTGTGCCATTGTTTATCAGCGAGTGAGGATGTTCCCATGCATTCATATAATACATTTCGTAATATTCCATTCGTTTTAGTGCTTGCAACTGCTAAATAAGCCACCATGGCCCCAAAGAAAGCTCCTAGTGCCAGGCCTTTGGTAAAAAATTTGAGATACACGATAGAATTCAAGAAAGAACTCGTAGCAAAGTACCAAAGTGGAGGAGGAAGGAGAGGAGAATGTACCTTCTTCAGTGATTCTATGATATGTACAATACTATAGCAGCACAAGTCGATAAAGGCTATAGCGCCAGCCAGCGATAAAGCGTAGCACTAACAGTGTAGCAAGTAAGTTAAGCAATTAATCGATAGAAAAAGGACAGCACGAACCTAACTCCTCCAATGTTGTTGGAGGAGTTAGGTTAGAACTACTGGCAACACCGCCACCATCCACCACCACTGTTTCTATGTTATTAATATTGTTTATTATGTTATAATAGATGAATTGTGATAGATAAATAAGCCGTTGAGTTGATATTAGTGTCATATTGAAGGACTATCTTGTCCTGCCTCCAAACACACACCCCTACCGCCGCCACAGTTCCTAACATACGTAATGGCAAATTTTATTCATACACCAACAGGAGTCTTCAGTAAAGGTAAGTGTGATGTTATTATTGCTTTATTCTTCATGTCTCATTGTTTTCTGTGTATATAAATCTGTATTTCATGTAAAAAAAAATATTTTTTATTAATACTTTTGGTCTGAAACGGATTAATTGGATTTACATTATTTCTTATGTGGAATATGGTTTCACAAATTGTCAGTTTCGCCATTAGTCACACTCTATGGAACGGATTAATTACAAAAAAATGAGCGTCCACTGTACTTTAAAGTTTATTTGACTGTCACATTATCTTTTATGTTTAGCGGCAGTGTGTTAGAGTATTACTTAACCTGCTAATATAGATAATGACAGTATCATACATAAAGTAAAATGTTGAAAGGCATAAATTACTACTTTTTATTGGCTGTGCTAGGTCTCAAGGTCAAAGCCTGCTACAGCTGATTGGCAGTCACAGGAAGATTAACCCCTTGACTGTTGCAACCCCAAATTCCTGAGGTGTCTCCTGGTGTCGAGAAATTTCCGGAAAAAAAAAAAATTCTTATGAAATGATAGAGAATCTTTTCCCAATTGTAATAACACCAAAAGAATGAAATTTGATGGAAAACTGATGGAATTACGCTCTCGCAAAGTTAGCGACCTCGGCGATATTTACGAATTGGCGATTTCACCCACTTTGAGCCCTATTTTTGGCTAATTCCATTGTTCCAGTCAACCAAACTCATAGCTATTTCTTTAGAGCTCCATTTTTTTCTATCGATTGACTACAAGAAACTGCCCATTTATCGATATCATCTACCCAATAACGGTCAGAAATTTGCAGTTTGGTCAATTTCACGAAAATTAAAAAATATAACAATTTCAAAATAAAATCCAGAATGAACAATGCAGACATTCCTGGCTCTAAAATAACATTTTCTTTGTTCATCAGTCATGTCTCCAGGCCCCTCTAATATTACTCTTACTTTCTATTTTGAATTTTTATTCAAACAAAAAATAAAAGATTTACTATTATGCAGACTACTGCAATATTGTAATAATTGTATAAATAATGTCAACCCATTCATGACTGCGTATTAGAATGGCTACTTGGACATTTATTGGAAAATGACATGCTTGAGCTCCATTTCAAGGTTCTTTTCATAGTAAAACCAATCAAAATCACCTCTATTTCTATAATTTGTTTTCCATTCTATCAAATGAGACCAAGAAAACGAGAATACAACCATAAATACTATACGAAAATAGACCAAAAGTCGGCTTTTTAAATTTAAAAAAAAAATTTGTTTTTTTTCTAAATTTTTGCACGCTTGCGGCAGGTTTTTTTTTTAAAGGGGTTGCACACGGGACCCTTCTCTACAGGGGGGGCCCAAACCAGCTTTTTTTTTGCTTGTTTGGGGCCCCTAGAATTTAGAGTATATATACGTAAAAACCGGTGGTTTCGAAAGAATAAATATAAAAACCAAAACAGTAAAACCGGTTAATGGTAATAAAAACGGGTTTATCTTTTTTTTTTCTTTTGAACCCCATCGGTTATTTTCCACTGAGGCGGGGGGTGCCCCAAAAAAAAAGGAAAAATCTTTAAACATCTTCACACTTTAAACCATCATTTCCCCAAAAATCACTGTCTTTTCCCCCACTTTAGCTTAAAGATCCCCAACCACAAGTATCCCCCTCACAATTTCAAAACCCCCCAAGACTCCACTTTTCCCAAAATCTCTTTCCCCCTCTCCTTTTCTCTCTCTCTTTTCCTCTTTTTTTTTCCCCCTTTCTTTTCTTTTCTCCCCTCTCTCCCCCTCTCTCTCTCTCTCCCCTCTCTCTCTCTCTCTCTCTCTCTCCTTTTTCTCTCTTTCTCTTCTTTCTCCCCCTCTTTCTTCTTTTTTCTTTTTCCCCCCTTTTCTTTCTCTCTTTCTCTTTTCTCTCTTTCTCTTTCCCCCCTCTTTCTCTCTCTTTTTCCTCTCTCTCTCTCTTCCTCTTCCTTTCCCCTCTTTTTCTCTCTCTTTTTTCTCTCTTTCTCTCTCTCTTTTCTCCCCTCTTTCTCTCTTTCTTTCTCTCTCTCTTTCCTCTCTTTCTTTTCCCCTTCTCTCCCCTTCTTCTCTTCTTCTCTCTTTTCTCCCCCCCCTCTCTCTCCTCTCCCCTCTTTTCTCCTTTTTCTCCCCCTCTTTCCCCTTTTCCTCCCCCTCTCTCTTTTCTCTCTTTCCCCTTTTTTCTCTCTCTTTTCCTTTTTTCCCTTTTTTTTCCTCTTTCTCTCTCTTTCTTTTCCCCCCTCTTTTTTTCTCTCTCTCTCTCTTTTTTTTTTAAAAAGGTTTGAAAAAGGTTAAGGATCCCTATTATTTTTAATTATAATAAAAAAGGAAAGCGCAAAAACCCACAAGGGCTATACGCGCTGCAGGGTTTGGGAAAGGGAAAAAGAAAGGGGAAATTTGGGTTTGGAAAGAAGGGAGGGGGGATAAATCGCAGGTTACAGAAAAAAGGGGGGGCGGGGGTTTTAGTGGGGGGTAAGGGTAAAAAAGTTTCAAGTAAAAAGGGCTAAAAAGTACCCAAAATTTTGTAAAGGGTAAGCCCAGTCGTTGTCAAAAAATAAATAAAAGGGGTTCCGGAGGGAAAAGGGGGGGGTCCATCAGCGAAAAGGGGAAAGGGTAAACAGGCAGCGGGGCGAAGACGACGACGGAGGAAAATTTTCCTGCTGCTCGTTGATAAATGGGCATCCAACGGGAAATGGGGTTTGAGGGATAATGGAGCATTGGCCCATTCTCACAGAGAGGAGCAAGACCCCCTCCCCATGAGATATCCTGATTTAAAAACGAGTATGGCCAATGCAAAAGACGGGGGGAGAGTAGCCCCCAAACCCTTTGACACTGGTAAAAGAAGAGGGCAAAAAAACCCAAAATGGGGTTTTTTAGACTGGTTTTTTTGCCGAGCATAGTAGCCAAAAAGTTGTTGCCAAGGGGTGTAAAGGGTGGGAAGATTTTAAACAGCAAAATATCCGTAATGGAATCCCTCTTAAAAAACTGGTGGGTCATTTTTACTGTGCCCGCGCAGCATTGTTGCCTTTTCTTTGGCCCGTACTTTAAACCCATAAACCAGGGCCAAAAACAAAAACAAAATCTTTTGTTTA